AAAAAAAAAAAAAAAAAAAAAAAAAAAAAAAAAAAAAAAAAAAAAAAAAAAAAAAAAAAAAAAAAAAAAAAAAAAAAAAAAAAAAAAAAAAAAAAAAAAAAAAAAAAAAAAAAAAAAAAAAAAAAAAAAAAAAAAAAAAAAAAAAAAAAAAAAAAAAAAAAAAAAAAAAAAAAAAAAAAAAAAAAAAAAAGGTGACAAAAAAAGGAAAAATTCACCAAAATTATATAGAATAGAAAGAAACACTATACTAGAGTCTGCAAGGTGATTCAGTCCAAGGAAATCTGGGGTGGAAGAGAAAAGGAAAACAGTCTCCTCAGAGTACCAGTCATGAGATTTACTTTGGAGAGCTTGGCTCATGGAGCTCCCAGAATGGCCACAAGAATTCAGGACATGACCCACTGGGTACTAGCAGAGTGTAATTGTCCTACCTGACATGCTCTACAGCCAGTGCTGTCTGGTCAAACTCTCCTGACTCATCATACACAACCCACAGCTCCTGCAGTAGGATCTGATATTGCTTCAGCTCCAGGAGTTCCTGCATGCACTCCAAGGTAAAGCTGCTGTCCCGTGACTCACACAGGAAAGGATCACTGAGCTGCACAACTGCTTTCAGAGACGAGTAATCCACATCAACAACCTGTTGGAACGAAGAGCTGTGAAGAGTTCTCAGAACCTTAGATCCAGCTGAGAAAGGTGGGCATGACATGCCTCAGTCAGGAGGGCGCACTGGGTTCCAGCTGAGCCACAAAACCAACACAGTACAGCAAAGGCCACCTCTGCAGTTGAAGGGATAGCCCAGAATGAAGATTCTCAGAACCACACACCCTTTTCCACATTCAGAACTACATTCAAATATCTCCTAATGCTCATAACAAGGCCAGTAAGTTTCTCCCTATTTAGGTTTCTTGTTTTGTTGCTTTTAAAAAATGGCAAAAGCAATATCCTCAGACTCAAACAAATCAACACATTACAGTTCCTCAGGACTCCTTCAGGGCTCATTTCTCAAAGTGCCCACAGGATACAAACAATCCAAGGGTTAGTCTGGGCCAGAGAGAGCCATTTTGTCACTAACTGGGCAGAAGAGCTGAGGGGGTACAAAGTTTTTCCCTCTTCAACCACGTAATGGAATTGCAAGTTTGAACATCCAAGGCTTGCAGCAAAGATGTATGACCTGGACATTGAGAGGACTAGAAAAGGAGTATCCCAGCTGAGTCTAAGACAGCTGAATGCAAAGCAGAAGAGCTACTGTCAGTACCAAGGTGGGTTAAAAAGAATAATTTTACTGATAAAAATGCCAACTACATTACAACCAACAGCTCTGGACCGAGTATCCCCTCTGTGCCCTTGCAGTTCTACGTCACAGCTCACTCACACAGGCTCGGCTTTCCCCCTTCCCATTTCAAGAAACAAGCCCTTAGAAAAAAATTCCTATTGCTCTGGCCATTATTGGCAATTAGATATGACAGCATTCTTATTATTTCCTACCAGCTGGTAAACATAGATAACCAGTGTGTTACAGAGGCAAATGATGTTAATTAGAGACAAATGCCTGAGCAACAAATTTCCACTTACCCCAACAACAACCTGAAACACATCAGTGCGCCAGATTGCCTGCCAGCCAGATGGCTCCAGGACCTTCTCCAGGTAGTCAGCTATGAATTGCTTCACCTCAGAAGCTTTGCAGTCAGCTAAAAGGAAATGGAAGACAGTACACTTATGCAAGGAATGAAAGAAAAGTCCTTCAGATAAGTGGAAAATGAAAGACAACACAGTTCAAATGTTCCTCTACCACCTCCAAAGTTGGACTTCATTCTGTTTTGCTCACGGTAACAGTCAGCATTTTTGCTGTTTCTCTTACTATTGAGAGAGTTGGAGAGGCATCTGTTTTGTGCTTCTCTGGAAGAAGAGATCCAGTACTCAACCCTCCAGGTATTGAAGATTTCAGTGCCAATGGCACTAAACACATAACCTGTGCCTTATCTTAATCAGGCTTACTACATGCAGAAAAATTCAAATAAGACAAACTAAAACAAGGCACAGAATCCACTATTAACATATCTGCCTTCCCACCATTCAGATTTTATTAATTTACATCAAAACCATTGCCTCCTGGTCCACCAGCTGGAGCAGCTGAGGTTACAGCATTAAAAGCATGTCACAGCTTAATATACAATTGACTCCACTTAAACTGGATCATTTTAACAGTCACTACAAGAAAACTGACACCACCTTCTTTTTCTATTATGAAATGACTTACCCAAGATGTAATCCTGGTAAGCACTGAACCGCTCGTAAAAGAAAAGATGATCAGTGTGAAAAATATCTGGAAGAAGCACGTTCCCATCTGGCACAGCCCTTCCCAAGGCAGTCACCACGTTGCCACGACTGCCATAATCACTACAGGAGTCAGCACTCCAGTCACTCTCAGCATCTTCCTGGTGCACAGCTGGGAAGAGAAGAGGGAGCAAAGCAAACCCCACAGATTGTCAGCTCAATGCAGTTATCACTCAATCCTCTATTCCCACAGAATTCCTGTTCAGCTTAACACCTATCAGGAACCTGCTTTCTACAACACATCTTAATTATTCTAAGTGAAGAGAGTATCCTACTTGGTTAGTTGCTTTTTTCTCCAGAACATTAACCCTGTCCCAAAAGAGAGTCTCATTTGTCCCCACCTGCCCTGAGTCACAGTTACTGTACTAATTTACTCTGTTCTCCAGGTAAGAGCTAAAACCCCTTAGGTATTACATTGCCATTCATGTACATATTAGGCACCAGACATGGTATCAAGCAATACACCAAATTATTTTGGAACATGCACAAAGCCAGCTGATCCCACACACAGCTGATCCAGAATGACACTCAGGATTATTGTGAGTAAAGAGCAAGCTATAAGAAAAATGCATGATAAACTGCAGGTACTAGTCTGAGCTAAAGATGTGTTTTCACACTTGCCCTTCCCTTTCCTTGTCTTTTCCTGTTCTACAGTACAAGCATTCTTTTTGTACTTTAATAAACTAACAAAGTCTCTGCACCTGAGGTTTCCACAAAGGAAATTCCAAGCAACACATTCAGACAGGAAGGTCACAGCATTGTAATTCTTAGTCCACTTAAATGGACACTGGCTGCATCTTTACTTTGAAGGGCTCATTGCAACAACAGCACCTCTCCACAAGGGTTCTTTTTACAGACTCAGACCAGTCACTGTTGGTCTCACAGCATCTCTCAGGCCTGCTCACCCCTAAGTTTAGAAAGCATTAGAGAGACGACCAAAGGAAACCAAGTGTGATGATGATTCAGGTTTTTTGTTGTTCGGGTGGTTTTGTTTGTTAATGTAACAGCTCAAGACACCCTCACTGTCCATAACTTGATTCTGTAACAATCTGCAGGCCTCTGCATTTCCATGAGTCTGCAGTCTGACCTTTATTAGAATCCTAAAAAGAAAGGAAGAAAACTCCGCACTATTTCAAACACATCCCTCACATTTCAGGATGGGTAATGGAAGTTAGCACTCTTGACCTCCCCTTTGTTAAAATTCTTACATATTCGGGGTCAGACTTAATTTGCAAAAACAAAAAAAACAGAACCAGTGTCTGAGCCAACTACAAGTGTTTAGACAATTTCATTTGTCTTTGCAGCACAACCCCTGTGGTAATATGTAGAGAGAAGTTGCCTTAGATGATCTAGTGTGATTTATGAAACACTGTTACATGTACACTGTAAATAAGGATTTTATTTCTACGCACCCATAACCAAATCAAGCCACTCTGACAGCAACACCCTGTACGAGCCACACTATGAACTCCAGAGCAACAGCCTGTGTTCCAGAACAAGCCACTTAATCTAGGTTGTTCTCTGTTTACAGTCTGCAAGCCTGTAACCAAACACCACTGATGATCTGCACTGCCCGGGGATGCTCAGGAGATGCTCAAAACCCCCACACTGTGCTGCCCAGGCAGAGGGCAGGGGAGCCGCTTGCAGGGAACCAGATTTTCCTGACACTGTCAGCGCTCCAAACACACAAACGCTCCCGGACGCCCAGCTGAGCACCCGGGGTGGGCACCTGAGAAACACAGCGGAGCTTCTCGATTAAAAGCTAGAAACTCACAAGATTTAACTGCGTTTATTTGCAGAACCATCCGCAGGTTCGCTCCCCCGCCACGGCCCCACGCCCCGAGCCGGAGGGCCGGGCCGAGCCCACGAAGGTTGCCCGGGGCGGACCAGAGCTCGGGCAGCCCGGCCCGCGCTGCAGCCGCGGAGCCGCCCCGGGCCCATCGCGCGTCCCTTCCCTCGGCACCGCCCGAGCTCCGGGCGCGGAGTGCCCGCGTCCCTCCCGGGCAGCCCCTGCCCGCCCTCCCTCCCCGCCCGGCCCTCGCAGCCCGTACCTCCCTCCGCGTGCTCGGCGCCGTCCTGCGGGCCGGCAGCTCTCCCAGCCGGCGGCAGGGCCCAGCCGTCCCCCTGCGGCCCCGGCGACCCCGCCTCGGCCATGGCCATGGCCGCCCGCCCGCCGCCTTCAAACCGCCCGGGCACAACCGCCGCGCCCGCCCTCAGCCCGGCCGCTCCAGCGCCCCGCGCTCATTGGCTGGCGGCGCCAGCACCCCGCGCTCATTGGCTGTTGGCAGCCAGCGCCCCGCCCTGATTGGCTGTGGGCAGCCAGAGCTTCGCCGTGATTGGCTGCGGGCGGAAGCGGCAGTTGGAGCGCGGTTCGTTCAGCGGCGCCGCAGCTCCCCGGGCCGGAGCTCGGCGGGGCTCGCTCTGGAGCGGGGAGAGCGGTGGAAACCTGGCCCTGTCATCCCAGCCGATAAACCGGGGGCGCTCCTGCCAACCACGGTAGTGCAGGCGAGGAGCGGCGTTCCGCACACAGCGTGGCCGCCGGGGCCGCTCCGTCCCTGCGCAGAGGGATCCGCGGAAACGTTCGAACACCAAACGATCTCCCTCCTCAAAATAAACCCCCACTCCCAACAAACACAAAAATAAATGGAAAAAACCCCCACCACACAACCCTCCAGAACCAGCAATAAACATTAAAATTAAAATCTGAAGCCCCGGGATTTCCCCTCCGGTCTGTTCCACAGCCCAGCTCTCCTCAGGCCGCTCGGTGTGTTCTGTGACCACAAGCGCCGACAGCGATTACAGCCGAAACAATTGCTCCAACACAGCAGTGGCCACGAGGGGGCTGCCTGAGATTTCTGACAGCACTGCCAAACACCTCTGTTGACTTTCCGAACATCCCTCGCTCTTGCAGCAGCACGGTGCCCGCAGCATTACCCGTCCAGAGTAAACCGAGAGACCGAGTCATCCCGACATCGCACGGGGCGGACTTGCCAAAGGTCCACTGAAATCAACCTTTGTTCATCGTAACCCCAGAAGAAAAGAGAACGTCTTAGTCCCCTGGACTTTTCTGCTGTCAGGATTTAACCATTATTCTGGACATGTATTTTTAACTACACTCATGTATTTTTGTCTATCTTAATTAGTTACAAAATTACAGGCAGACATCTAAATCTTGCCCCAAAGCTTCTTTTTTGTTGTTGTTGTTTGGTTGGTTGGTTGTTTTGGTTTTGTGGGTTTTTTGGGTGGGTGGGTGGGTGGGTTTTTTTGTAAGGTCAGGCTTCAGGGTAGAGCATGTGTGTAAACCAAGTGTCTTAAAATCGGCAAGTGTAAAGTACTCAAGTTTAGGAAAGGGATGCCATGCAGAGGGACTGTGAAGTGCTTGAGAGGTGGGTCCTGGTGAACCTCACGCAGTTCAACAAGACCAAGCCCAGGGTCCTGCACCTGAGTTGGGACAATCCCAAGCACAGGGATAGGCTGGGTGGAGAACTGGAGAGATTAGATTGGATATTAGGAAGAAATTCTTCCCTGTGAGGGTGGTGAGGGCCTGGCACAGGTTGCCCAGAGAAGCTGTGGCTGCCCCATCCCTGGAAGTGTCCAAGGCCAGATTGGAAGGGGCTTGGAGCAACCTGGGACAGTGGAAGTTGTCCCTGCCCATGGCAGAGGTTTGGGACTGGATAATCTTCAAACCCAAACCATTGTATGATTCTGTAAGTAATTACGAATTGAGAGATTGTCTCTACTACACCTGCAGTACCACTGAACATGGGATTATATTAGAAATGAGATCCCCCATATTTAAAGAGTGAAGTGACACAGATATTCACATAAATGTTTTGCTATAAATCCACAGCATTGAGATTCTGCAGTAGGCAACACACATTTGTTATATGCTCACAGAAGAATGTCTCTGATATGAAGGAAACTTCACTGAATGAAGAAAGATTTTTAATCTAACCTCAGCAACACATACTAACAAAATTTTAGTCAGGCTGTACACTGAGTTAGGAGGAGTAGAGTAATGGTCAAGAAGAGAAAATAAAAAAGAGCAAGAAATAGTCTAATAAAGAGGAAAGATATCAGGGGGACAGCAATAATAACTTTCACAGTAGGAATGGGAAGAAAGAGAGTATTTGGAAAGAAAAGGACTGGAAGAGGGACAAAGACAAAGAAGGTCCTCTTTTGGCACTTAGTCCCCTGGGGGGATGTTCCTTGTCTTGTACTTTTTTCAACACCTAGAGTGAAAAGAGACTATCAGCATGAAAGGACAGAAATAGCAAACACAACAGGAAGGGGGAAAACAAAAAAACAAACAAGAAAGCCCAAATAAAAGGGAGGAAAAGCAGAATGCCAAAGATAGCCTGGAAGATACAAGAGAAGCTGGACTGGTTTTGTGATTGACTACAGGAGCCAAGCTTTGAACCAGCTTTTTTCCTGAGCACAGGAGCTAAATAAAGGAGTCAATAAAAAGCATGAGGTGGATACAAAAGGAAAGAAAGGGGTAGAAAGTGAAGAACAACCAAAGAAACCCCATTCTATTATACATTTTAGTTATCTGCTGTTAAATCCCCACTATTACAGATTTATGTCTATAACCTCAGGCTCACAGTCTGGCCTGTTCATATAACCTTATGCATTGAGTAACTGTATGCCCATAGTGCTTTATAACTGTAAAATTATGGGCATGTAGGTTCCCATATTGTTTAAATGTTTGGTTAATTTTTTCTCCAAATAGATACAGTGAATTCAGGCTCAAAATGGGCAGATCAGTTCTTTCACACCTGGATGAAACACTGGTGATCAGGACAATCCATTTATCCCTGCTTGTTCCGTTTGCAGAATAGCTGGGGGCAGATTGTGTTCCATTATATAAGAGTTCCACAGCGTTCAGGTAATTATCCACAGTCCTTGTAAAAGAGCTGTTTTACTTCAAAGAAACGCTGTCCTGGCAGCAATTGAAGCTGCTGCAGGTGTCCTGGACTTATCAAGCTCCTTTTTATTCAAAAAACTCCACCACAGTTGTTTCCTTCCCATCATTTCGGAAATAGAAACACAGTACTCTTATTGCTGGAAACTTTCCACTTTCCAGCTTGAATGTGCATGCACAGTGCACACCATCAGTTATTTTCTTGAGCTTAAACAGTTACTTTTCTCCCTATGGCATTTATTCACCCAATTTATTATTGAGCACGAATTCATGTTTTCCTGAACCTCTTTTGCTAAATCACAGTCTGTCTTTCTTTCTTTGCACAGCAGGTTTTCCATTCACCTCAGCTTATTAGTTGTCCTTTCTTACACTTTTCTCCAAGTTTGTTTTTTTTTTTTTTCCTTGAGTAGAAGTGACCAGGTCTGTGTGAAGAGCCGAGGTCTGGCAATATCTTACATGGAACGTTATCACTCCAGAGCTTGAGAGGAGGAGGAGAACGTGTTTGCCCTCACACTCTGTACTCAGCCCTCGCACTTTTGATTGGAATCTCATTGCAGCTCCTCCTGGGAATGAGATGTGTGTGTTTAAGTCACCTGGATGCTTCTAAAACACCCAGCCTTGTATCTTAAGCCCCAAATATATTTGTTCAGCTGTCTTCCCCTTGAAATACTGAAACAGTGAGGAGTGCTACTATGCAGAACTGTCTTTTGAAATCTGAAATAGACTTCCACTCCAAAACATGACATGGCAAATACAGTTTGAAAATCACAGAAGGTGGTTAATTTCTTTACAGAAATTAATGCAAGCACAGCTACATCAAGCTAAGGAAATACAGTCAGGGACTGGTACCTTACTACTAAAAGATAATTGTCCTTTAGCATTGTACTAGTTTTAACTGAAGAAACACAAAGGACATACATCCATCTCAGTTGAGAGCACAGGCTATTTATGCCTTAAAACAGTGTGTTCTTGATCGTGCCCCATTACAAGGGAACCTTAAATTAAAACAGAATCAAAAGCTCAAATTATTTTACGCAATGAAAATAGTTGTTAGTCAATATAAGGCTAGGAAATCATAAATTATCTATGAAATATGTAGAATAAGCAGCTGACACAAGGCAGCAGAGCTGTGATAGTGATGGGAAGGAAACAACAAATACTCACAAAAGAAAAAGGAAATTTAGAAAGAGACTGCTACATAAGACATTTCTGTGTACTTTGCTCATCTTTGCACACATTTTCTTTGTTGCCATGGCAATCACTTTAGTCTTTCTAGGCCTCCATTTGAGCTCTATAAAATGCAGATAATGTTTTTTACTGCATATGTTTCAGTAATTCATTTGCAAACCACGTCTACGGCAGGGGATGAATGGTGTCACATAACTGAAGATTGCTGTTAATTAGTTGGCTTATTATATATTGGGTAACATAATTGATGTTCTTTGACAGGTATTTCATCTGTCTTTAGATTTCCTTTTGTAGCAGTATAAGCTTAAACCGTTGTAAACCTAAATAAACTGAATCTAATTAGAAAGGCAGTTAAATTTTGAAAACCTGTTCAGTTTCACTCCCTCAAAAAATCAAATCCCATCATTTTCTTACAAACTATTTAGGAGTTTCCCATACGAGTTAGCATCCAAATATTTACATTTATCAAAGATGGAACCATACCGCTGAGATCAATATATCTGTCTTCCAGAAGTTGTAAACATTAGAGCTGGAAATCATCTGCTTCTCTCTGTTACCAGAGGATGCTTTCTTATGTGTGCAATTTAGTGTGTTCTGAGTAGTTTTCAAAATCTTCTCAATATTGGCTTCTTCAGGAAGGTACTGGCTGGGTTTAGAATTGTTCTAACTGCCACCTTATGTTTAAAAAACAACAATAAGAGCATTGCTTATTTGGATTTTCATGTCCGTAGACCCTTCTCTTCTTGCCGTTCACATTAACTGCTTCCAAGTTTCTAACTGCTGAGAGCTGAGTTTTTCTTAACCACAAACATGCCTGGTATTGCTAACTCCTTAATTTGCAGAAATGGGAAATTTCAGCCGACTGACCTTGCCCGCTGAACCTTGTCTCCTTAATAAAGAGGTGGTAAAACAGATGTTAGCCTTTCTGCTCACTGCAGAGGATACTGCAGGTCTGTTTTCAAGATCTACTGAAGAGCAGACAAAGTAATGCGCTCCAGGACAGCCTGCTTTGAGCAGGGAGATTGGATCAATGACCTCCAGTGCTCCC